CGCCCCTTCTTTCCCCGCTTCTTTGACCTCACGGTCACAAGTACATCAAGTCACAAGCTGTATAGTTTGTTTGCATTCGCGTATCTCCGTTTGTATTAGAATTGTAATTGATATGCCCTTTGCCCTCCCCCAAGTGATTCTACCTTGATGAGTACCCAACGTCGTGCGCCGCGCAAAGGTAAAACCACAATTCCAAAACCTCCTCGAGGATCTGGTCTCAACCCTTCCCATGCGCCTGCGGACACGCAGATCAATATTCCCGACGAACAACCGCGGCCTCCGGAAATGTCTAACTTCGATCCACATCAGCGACAGCACGCCTTTGGTACATATAATCAGTGAGTCTTCCCATCTCTTTTGTCGCGGACTCAGACTCAAAATAACAATAGGCCGAGTCCCGGCTACTCAAATCCTGGAGATAGTAGCTCAGGTGCCGGGTACACCAACTCGCTCTTAGGCGCCGGGTACACCAACTCGCTCTCTAATGCCGGGTACACCAACTCGCTCTCTAACGCCGGGTACACCAACTCTCTCTCTAGCGCCGGGTACACCAACTCTCTCTCTAGCGCCGGGTACACCAACTCTCTCTCTAGCGCCGGCTACACCAACTCTCTCTCTAGTGCCGGCTACACTAACTCTCTCTCTAGCGCCGGCTACACCAACTCTCTCTCTGCTGCCGGCTATAGCGCCCAGTCCTCCTCCCAGTCCTTGTCTGGCGCTCAATCCCCAAGGGCTGGTCCCTCAAACATCAACTACAATGTTCCATCACTCGCGTCACGTACGTATTGTTTCTTTTCATCGTAAATCATTTTCTAACAAACACACCATGTTCAGCACCGAGCTCCCACCTTATCGGGCCCATACCTCATTGGTTGGGCGGTGATGCCGACGCCGCACGCGCACTGACACACAATCCCATACTGGACGAAATACCGGTATCCAACGTGATACATGTGAGTACTTAATGTTATATATCTTACTACACGTTTTAATGATAACAGACTTTGGGTCCGGTGCGCTCTATCGAAAGACGCCGACGCTCCCGACGTATGCCCTCAACGCCGTCGTTGGCGCCTTATTCGGCGCCCCCATGCCCGACGCGTACCCCAAATCCCAGCCCGCCTCCATCCCCAACGCGCACTCCAAATCCTGGCCCGTCCTCGGCTACAACGTCGAGTGACGTTGTCATCCAGGTCAAGGTCAGTGCGGCGGACCGCGAGCAAGTCTACAGCCGCTCGCGAGACCTTATCAAGGGCACCATCTTCACGCCTGATGCAATCGCATCAAAATCTGAGGACCAGAGTCGCCTCGTCAGGGATATGATCAAAGCATCAGCGCCTTCCATTCCGAGCCTTCGCGGTAAGTTCAATGAAGACTCTTTTAGCTTATACTGAATGAATAGTAGGGCTAAATCGATGGCCATCGACGCCGAAAGATGTGCCGACGATTTGGCGGGGAGTGGTCCTAGTGCGTTCGACGATGATGACGATTGCGCGACAAAACGTGGTGATGGCATACGACCTGCTCCCCGAACACGATTCCAACATCCCGCCAGATCAATTTCGTGTCGATCGAGTAGCTAGTCTTGTGCGAGACAAGGCCTATATGCACAAACATTCATTTTCTCAAGTATGTTTATTTTTTGTTTCGAAATCAAGATCTAACTAAGGCTTAGGACGGGACGGTGATCATTCACAACAAATGCCAGAATAAATTCATATTCACCCTGCTCATCAAACTCATCTGGCTCTCGAATCACGGACTTCACGCGCTACTCGGCAACCACCAATCACCTCGTGAGGCACTGCATCATGCGTACTGCCTTGCATGTTCAATAACGGAGCATGCATTATTGGAACAAGGCCAACTAATATTCACGAAGCAGAAGTTCTCGCCGACTGAGAACAAGACGATATTCGATAGCGTTAATTTTTTTCTAAATTCTCTCAGTGAGGAGGAGAAGGCAAGTCTTGATAGATGGAAAGACCATCTGATTGTTTGTGGGAGGTCGCAACAGGGGTCTACTGCCATTCTTTCCGATTTCGACTTGACTATTGAAACGTAGAATTTGGACTATAGTTTGCAGTTTTAGCATAGTTCATAGTTTTTGTGTTAGATTCCCACAAATTTCGTGATTCTACCTACAATAAATTATTAAAATGCATACCGGAGTGCTTCAAACAGTCAGATATTAGTATTACGAACGCCAAACGTATACCGGAGTACTTAAAACAGTCATTACGGATGCCTGACCTGACTATACCATATCCGAGAAGTTTCAGACATGTTTTAAACTCGGTTCGAACACGGACCCTCTCTTAGATGTAGCTGGCTAAAAAGCGACTAAAGAGCCGCTAGTTAATAAGGCCCCGAATAGTTTCATCCCGAACCCTAGACAACTTCTCCCAAATATCTTCGCAGTCTCTGTACTAATATCAACATCCACACTCTATGCCACGTCAAGGCCTACTACAGTGCCGCGTCACAAGTAGCACATGATCTATTCGTGTCACCCTCATCCGACACATGAGGTTTTCCAGCGCCCGCCACGTCACCTTCGCATTTTGCAGCCAAACAAGGCAGCTTTCGGGGTCACGGACTAAATTCGAAATCTAGTTAGAGACTGAAAATCTGCTGAATAAATCATTATGATCATGGACCGAACTCGCTAACTGCGTCCCCTTATAGTACAGGCCACGTGCAGATCTCCCAGCCCCCACACTACTTGTGTATAAAAGCCAACGTAGCTTTTGACTCAGACAATACCATTAGCTTTTAGCGATGATATTCACCTCACTCACCACCATGATCATATCTGTCGCAGCGATGGCTAGTGTAGCTGTCGCCTCTGACAACCTGATAATAAGTCCCATGGGGCTACCTTGCGGCTCCCCTAGTAAGCACTTTTGCATACCTTAGACTACATGCTGACGGCTGGTATTCGCAGATACGGTGGGGTGCTCAGCCATCAAAGGTTGGAACAACGATAACGATTTCGGTTATCTTTGTGGACCCAATAGCATCATTGATGACTATCAGGACTGCCCGTGTAAAAATTGCTGTGTGATAACCGATGGCGTCTTCAGTTGTTAGCGAGCCCGAGTGAGTCTGTCATTCTCCTCTGCCATCAGAGTCCCAGTGTTGACATGCTCGCTTAGCATGATGTGTGCCAGGGGGCAAAGGAGTGGTGCGGTGTAATGTCGATAATGTAGCATGTATGGATATTCTGGGCTCACTTGATTTGATCATCGTTGCTGACAGGAAGAGTGGGATACCATTATTGTATGCTTGCCCATCTAGCCAGGCTCTGCCCACCGCTGTCTCACCGTCTATGGGCTGCTGGTGCGACAGTGCGCGCCAAGCACAAGAGTAGGACGACTGACCAAGTAGGCTTACTGAAGCACCTGACCAAGTTGAGGGTGAAGCAGAGCTGGTGGCCTGGTTTCCGCGGCGGCGCACCACCATCAGGACGTAAGAATCATACCATTCTGAAAGGAGCACGACATCAGCAACATCAGCTTCTTCGTCATGGGAGCATACAAGATGCAGAGCCACGGAAAAAACCTGGTAGTGGTTCGGCATCATGCATCATGCATCAAGGCTTCTATAATGAAAAGTGAACAAAAAGGCGACTTCTGCATATTCTCATACCAAAATATTGTCCACTGGGTGAAGCCTGATCCTCCGAAGCACCAAGGAGAATACTTTCTTACGAAGGTAAATGCTGCGATTCATCTATAAAGACTCTACGAGAAAGTGACACTGCATGAGAGATCGTGTTCACCTGAGTTAATTATTTGATCTTGGATGCGCGTACCACATTACAAGCCCTGTGTTGTATTACTCCCGGGATTCTAAAACCCTCTTGTTTTGGATGCTCAACGTGCAAGTCACCTTGCAACACCCAAGCCCTCCTCCAAGAACTCTGCAAACGCACGTCCCACACCCTCCTCTCCCCAATCCACGCTCCCTTTTTCCGTGCTTCCCAATGTCACAGCTTTCCGGCGCGCAGCCACGAATTGGCGCTTGAGCCGTTGCAGCTCTGATAGTGTCAGTGCACGATGCGGGAGTGTTAAGCGAACATGGAGAACAGAACTATCATCGGCACTGGTATTCGAACTAGGCTCAAGCGAATCGATGATGAGGACGATAGGCCCCCCGAGCGGGCCAGCAGCCTGAGAAGCCATGAGCGCAGAAACCAATGCGTTTGTCGTATGCTCCAGAGTGCGGAGGGCGTCTGTAGGTGCTTTGGGTGTGATCTGGGTGCCGACGTTTGGAGGTTTGACGATACCAGTTGTGACTGCATCTGATATGCGTCCGAGTGGGGGTGTTGGGTCGTCCCAGGGGATGGTGAAGAGTGGAGCGTCCCAGCGGACCATGGATGAGGGTTCTTCGAAGCGTTGTATGAGAGCGTCGAGGCTGTCTCGAGCTTAGGAATGGGTGGGGAGATAAAAAGGGGAAAGACTGACGTTTGAGGTTTATATCTCTTCCCATCTCTTCGTTCATCGTTCCATTTCTGACATTGATCAGGCGTAGCAAGTACATAGACCTACTTTTCTCAACTGCGTTAGTTGCGCGAGTGAGAATATCGTGATCTATTACACACCGTAGCGACCCTTACTCCAGCCTCTCGGGCCTTGCAATACAGTTGGTACCTAAACCCCTTGATGTAGTTCATCCCGTCTACGATGAGGATTGTGTCTTTGGCGATGTGCCTTGTGATAGCGGTGAATAGAGTTGCGCGGGCGATCTTTTCTTGAAGGGAGTCTAATTTTCGGGGGTCAGTCTGAAGGGAAGGAAGAAGATGGGACAATACCATCATATGACACGCGATCAACGGCCAAGTCATCATCCGAGATGACTTTTATTTTGAGCTGAGGGCTTGAATTTGATGAGAGAAAGTCGTGGATTTGGGCTGCGCGGGTTGATTTTCCAGAGGAGGGGTAACCTGAGATGGTGATGAGGGCCATTGAACGAGCCGAAGATCACATTTTCGGTTCTGACAAATCATCTTGATCGACGTCTTCCTCGACTTGTTACTAACAATCTAAAGACAGCTAATGCAACACTCAACATATCCCCGTATATGCATCAGTACAATGCAAAACATAGTAAAAGTACCCATTTCTATCAGTGATCGTAGTATGTTTACTATTCTGGCACTCCGGCGAATATTACGCTAACAAAGTTGACCAGATTCCGGACCTTGAAATTCGAAACCTCGTACCATATTCCCTAACACCGACCACTCTACCATCGTCCTCGGGCCAGAATGTTTTCGATATTATTGCTGAGCGTCAGCAGCAGTTGCCAGTTGAATGCAGTATTGCATGAGATCTCAGGCCTGCCGGAAGCTGTCACTGTGGTTGGGGTAAAAAATCATCATCAACGACTTGTTGAAAAGAAGGACAAGTCACAAGATCACTTGGTCAACGAATTCGCAGAAGGGACTCATTACTATTGGCGCTTTCCAGCTGAACTCCTGTTTAAAATCTTCCACCATTGTCTTCCGGACACTGGGCCAAACACCCAAGGCTTTACTCCCCTGCTAAGGCTAACAACTTCAAGGCTGTTAATAACAATATGTCGACGATGGAGGGAGGCTGCTACAAGCATACCCGGTCTGTGGTGCAGGTTGCATGGCTTATGACGTGTGGCTCAAGCATCCACGGGGACTCGTGTTCTCGTTGGTAGTCAAGTGTTACCAGGACCAATCATTCGAATACACCACGGCGCCTCCTTCATCCTTATATGAATCAAATTTCGTCTCTATCGGTTTCTTCTGCGATGCCGACAAACCCGAACTTTTGAAGGATGTTACGTATACTTGGTGTGCAGGTAAATCGTGTCTATTGCGACTTCAACATGATACTGACATCTCATTTGGTCTATGAAATGCAGTTGTCTTATTCTATGGTATGAACAAGAGCGCAAGTACGATGTTACTACAGACGGGCGATGCAAGCCAAGGAAGCCCCAGTGTCATAACCTCAAGGGTAACGTGTCCAGTTTATTCATTTATTGACAACTGAATGGAGTCCAAGTTCAATACTGTGATGGTCTACGAGGTGCACTGATTGTCTACGACACACCAGATCCATATTTTTTCTCGCATGATATTGATAATGGTCATGGTCAGTGAACTCGGAGAAATGGATTGCGTTTCTGACATTTAAACGAAGAGTTCAAGTACCATCATCGGATCGGCAAGCAAACCCGATGAATCAATACCTGTGATGTAACCGGCTCCGACTTTGCAAGTATATCATGATGCTCCATCGCCTCTGGATACAAGTCCAAAGACAAGTAAATCCTGAATCAGTACTTGTCAGCGGTGTCAGGGGCTATCAAGAGGGGCCTGATATGCCTTGCGCTGTCATATCAACATTCAGTCATACGAGCGGTATCGTTTCCGCTGAGTACTTTGAGTCAACATGGCTTGCAAGCCTAACGACATTTATATCCTCGGTTGGTGACTATAATCATAAAGCTCACTATCATCGAAGTTGATGGCCAATACTCGTGGTCGACTCCATCTAGATCTACGCTACAGAACAGTGTTCCTTCATTCTCGAGATCAATCAGCCTGCTGGCCACTATTGGATGCATACAGTTCAGAATTTAGGATCAAAGTCCGCGGCCATCTTGGGCTATGCAGGTTCTTGCGATGTGGATCCCGAGATCAGGACAATTCCAGACTCGGTCGCTCTGAATGAGACTGACCTACACCCTTATATCCGCCTCCTCCTCTTTTGATCAAGGAAGATGGCGTAGACGCCAAGTTCCATCTGATTCTTGAGAAAAATGAGACCAATTTCAGCTTCCACATCAATGGTGTTCAGTGCACTTCACATAGTGTCCCAGTTTTACTGCAGCTACTGGGCGGTGATGTGACGGGTTCGGATCTGGCACCTCATGACTCTGTATACACTCTTCTGCGGGACAAAGTTCTTGGAACGCTAATGATCCCCAATGCTTCCCTGTGAGTCCTTCTCATAATCGCCTATGCACATGCCTTTGGTTGACAACAGACCGACCCTCTAACAGCGTCCATTCTACCTCTATGGGGTGCGTCTTCAGATACCATCTATGTATGCACATACAACAGATGGTTTACAGCTTCGCTGTCATTAGTTATAATTACATCAACCCTGCCATGCACGATCCCGTGACTACTGGAGTTGGTGACTATGTAACTATTCGCTTCATCACAGCTGATCTCGAAGATTGGTCCTGGGCTAATTTTACATTCCTTTGTACCATCCCCGATGACCGGACATGTACTCGATTTGCCATCAGTATACTTAGTTGTGCTGGTACCTACCCGTGGGTCGCGCCGCCGATACTCGTGGTTCCTTGCAACCTTCAAGTTCCTTCATCGATCCTCAGAGGTATGCATCGATCGTCCTTACATCTAGTTCCGTCTCTAGTTCTGTAGAAATAGGAATACTTGTGACCTATTATAGTCTGCATCTTGACTACCTTCCTTTGCAGATTACCCGGAATGATAACAGCGCCTCCGAAAAGTTGCAGACATCTCACCTGTCCTCGGTGGTCATCACGATTCACACCCTCGATCGTAAGGAGTTCGAACATCTTCCATACCACGAGCACTTGATGACAATAAGCCGCCGGAGTGTCATCCAGCGAATCAAATCCCACTGGTAAACAATGGTATGGCTCCCTGAAATACCGAGATATAATAAAACTTAGCCTATCTATCACTTTCATCCTTCAGGTGTGTGCAAGGTGCATTGGATGTGCGCCGACATCATGATGAGTGACGTGGCGCACATGGCGGTTGCAACCAACGTACATAAGTCGACGCTGCTCACACTCAGTCATTAAGCAACTACCACACAACTTATTGCCACTGCTCCACATTTGAAATACTCCGAAGCATGTTCATCCTAGTGATGTTGCTTCTTCACGCGATGCTAGGTTTTCATCTTTGTCGCAAGAACATTCCGAAGAGGCTGGAACCTTATTCCGACGCTTCAGGGAATTCACGCGCCACTTATAAAGGCTAGCCAGCACCGAGAAAATTGCAAGATCTAAGAGCTTGTACTACCTCGTGGCGCTGAGGTGAGTATCATATGTAGTTTGGAGCTAAGTAGTCTTGTCGTTTCGTTCTACCATGTATCCAACTTGATCAGTGCTGACATACAGGTGGGAGGCCACTAGTAGGACGATATTGCCACTGAAGATGGTTGCTTTGTAGTCGACAACTTCGATCCACGGCCCGGAAAAGAAGCAGGGCGAGGCTCAGATTCAAAAGGTGATTACAAAGTGCACTACTTAAGCAAAAAAGATGTGCTGCATTTCGCTCATCCTCCGGGTCATGATTCAACACTATATATTGCTGTGCGTTCTGACAAGTCTCCAGAGTTACGCCGTTACGATTGGTCCAGTTGCTGACCTAGTCATCGCAAATGCTCAAATATCTCCCGACGGATTCATCAAGTCGTCAGTTTGTGTATAATTTTTATCCTGCTTGATTACTGAGGTCATGGCAGGGCGGTTCTTGCTGGCGGCACTCTCCCAGGGCCTATCATTACGGGTCAGAAAGTGAGATTACTTTGTGCATACGAACTCTCGGTGATCTTATGTGCTTTTAAGGGGGACACATTCAAAATCAACGTGACCAATCATTTAAATGACGAAACAATGCTCACAGGTACCAGCATCGTAAGCACTAATTGGTTGAAACATAGAGCGTTTGATAATATTCTACCCTGGACAGCACTGGCATGGCCTATTCCAACGTCATAGTAACCAAATGGACGGCGCAGCATTTGTGACGCAATGCCCGATCTCTCCTGGTCATTCTTTTCTGTACGAGTTCAATGCTGGCGAACAAGTAGGGACCTACTGGTACCACTCTCATTATGGAGTTCGTGTTCCGATTTATTCACTTACAATCAATTACTGAACGAAATTCAGGTCCAATACTGTGACGGTTTACGAGGTGCACTGATCATCTACGACCCACAAGATCCGTACCGCTTCCTGTATGATATTGATGATGGTCAGTGAACCAGACAAAGTGAAATATCAGTTCTGACACCTAAGCGAAGAGTCTACGGTTATCACGCTGATGGACTGGTAAGCCAAAGCCAACGGTTCTTTCGAATGGTTAACTCAGTTCCATTTGCAGGTACCACGTACCATCTCCTCAAGTCCAGAGACAGGTGGTTCCAGACTCGGTGCTTATCAATGGTGTCGGAAGTTATCCAGGAGTGCAAGACACGCCTTACGCCATCATCAACGTTCAACCATACAAGCGATATCGATTCCGCTTACTGAACATGGCGTGCAAGCCCAACTATGTTTTCTCGATCGATGACCATAAGCTTATCATAATCGAAGCTGATGGTCAATACGTCGAGCCGCTCATCGTCGACTCTATCCAGATTTACGCCGCACAGAGGTACTCCTTCATTCTTGAAACAAATCGGCCTGTCGACAACTATTGGGTGCATGCGGTCCCCAACTTAGGTATAAGCTCCATGGCCATCTTACGATATGCAGGCTCTCCGGATGCAGACCCTGAGATCAGGCTAACTCCAAACCCGGTCGCTCTACAAGAAACTGACTTACACCCGTTGTATCTACCTCTGCCTATGCTGCTTCAGGAAGACGGCGCAGCCATCAAGCTGAATATCGTTCTTGGACAAAATGAGACCAATTTCAACTTTCTTGTCAACGGCGTGCAGTACACTTCTCCTACTATCCCTGTCCTACTACAGTTGTTGAACGGTGATGTGTCGACTTCTGAAATGGCAACCAATGGTTCCATATATTTTCTACCAAGGAACAGGGTTATCGAGATTTCATGGATTCCTGATTTAGCCCCAGCTCGACCTGTAAGTCCCAAAATATCATGTACCTGCATGCCCTCAACTGAAACTTCAACAGCATCCATTTCATTTGCACGGGGTATATCTTTACACGTCATCTATGCACATCCCATACTAATAAATGGTTCTTAGCACAAATTCGCTGTCATCAGAAGTGCGGGCAGTAGCAGATACAACTACATCAACCCCGTATTGCGCGATACAGTGAACACAGGCTTTATCGGTGACTACGTGACCATCCGGTTCATCACTGATAATCCTGGGCCGTGGCTGTTGCACTGGTAAGCATAGTTCGTGATACCTCATCGTCGATGATGTTGATGACTTTGGGACTTTTGTGTAGTCACATCGATTGGCATCTATACTCGTGAGTTGCTTGTTTCTTTTGCGGAGCCTGGACGGACTTTTTGATTTGTATGAGCGTAGCGGGATGGCTTTGGTATTTGCGGAGGCTTCTCAAGATGTGGCGGCTTCGCAGCCTCTCAGTGGTGAGTACATCGCACCACGGACTATTAGAGCTGGTCTGACGATCAGCGGTAGATTCTTCGAAGCAGCTATGTCCGATATATTATAGCCTTCCTCAACAAAATTTCTCTCTTCCACCTTCAAACTGATCCATATGATTGTCTTGCAAACCTCTGAGTTATCAAAAACTCATTTAGAGACTCTCAATGTTCTCGTAAAGTTAGAGAGATAAACTTTGGCCGTTCTAAGAACGCCTATCATTTATTGCAAAGTCTTAATTCATGTAGTAAAAATATACCGACAATCAATCTATGGAGGTCGCACATCATCTATCGACGATGGGACGTCCAATGTATTCATGACGTTCGTTAAATTCTAGGGGTATAAACGCAAATGCAACCAACCAATTTTACAGCATAGACCCGATGACAACCAGCGCACCTTCTGTATCCTCGCGACTCAAATACTCTCCAATACACACTCCACGATCGCACACCGCCGCTCTTCGACCACGATTCGCACAGCTTCCGTCATCGTCTCCCACAGGGAATCACCCGCAGCGACGCGTTTTCCCCACGCCCATCCCCCAGTCGCAGCCACTGCGATACCCACGTAGTCTGGCATGTCAGGCCCAAAGCCCACTGTAAGCTGGTTTCCAGTAACCTTGGAGCCGTGCCCCTCGGGGTGTATACCCAACATGGAGAGTTTTGGTGATTTCCAGCCTCCGTTGTTCAAAACGATGGTCAGGAAGGGCTGTCGTTCAATGCGTCCTCAGAACCCATTACTCAATATCAGTAAGTGGCACTCACCGTTTCATACCGCCTCGCCATCCAGAACGCACTGCTAGGTGCCCCAAACAAGAACGTACCGTCACCCACCACGGAAACTACCAGTTCGTACCCCACCTTCCCTGCACCCTTGCCTGCATTTACCCCTCCTAGAACCGCACCAACGCCCGCACCTAATGCCCAGCCGAGCGACGAGCCGCCGGAGCTCAACATGCCCAAAGGCGTGTCAGGATGCAGATGTGACCATGAAAGCGGGTAGTTACTGATAGTCTCGTTCAGGTAAAGTGTGCTCGCGGGATGCGGGACCTTATTCTCCACCGCTGTACGCAGAGCCCCGAAGATGCGCGAGGGCAGATACGGCACATTCGGTTCGGACATGACTGCCTCCGCGTTACGCATGTCTGCGATGAACGCATCGTGAATCGCCTGTGTGCTCCTAGAACGCGTGTAGTATCCCGTCGCTGAGCCTGTGCTCCCGGAGTTCAGGAGTTGGAAGAGCGCGACTTCAGCGTTGGCACGGGAAACAAGCTCTGCCACGCCGGCGACGTGCTCCATCCCGATGGTTTCTTTGAGAGGGTCGCCAGAGTCGATTACGAAGATGCGGGCGTCATCGCTGGGGCGCTCGGGGTTGCCTCGATTGTCCTTGTTTATTGGGATCCATGGTACCTCTGCATCGATTACGAGGATTACGTCTGCTGTGCTGAGCAGCGGGGTGTGTGTGCCAGGTGCGAGGAAGGAAACGCCCACGAAGAATGGATGCGAGAGAGATACGTTGGTAGCGCTGGGGCAGGTCACAAATACAGGAATAGCCATCAGCCGGGAAAGCATCTCTAAGGCACCGACGGCTGCAGGATTCCGTCCAATGTATGACGTGATGATAAGCGGGTTGTTTGCCTGAGCCAGGGCGTCACCAATTACGTTCACGGCTGCAAGCACGATAAGTACAATCCAGTGGTCTCACTTACTATGGTAATTTACCTGAGGGGGAGAGTGCGCTTGGCTCGATGGAAGGCCATTTGTAAAGAGATGCGGATGAGTTGAAAAGTGATTCATCGATCTCCTTCTCCAATACCTCCCTGCGTGCCCAAAGATATACTGGCCCTTTTGGTTCGCTTGTGGCTCTGGGGTGCACATTTTAGCCAATCTCGAATTCGACTGAACCAAAGGAGCTTACATTTGAAGGGCACGTCTGACGAGGTGAGGTATATTTTCGGGTGCGTTAATCTGTGCAGTGAAACGCATGTATTGCCTGACAATGGCAGGTTGGTCGGGTACGTCTACGCATAAAGCATCTGAGGTCTGTCTTCAACCAATCAAGTGAGCATCTTACCTTGCATCCAATGAATCCACTCGTTCCTTGACCCCTTCAACTCTCCTTCCATAGTAGACGGGGATGCACCAGCAAACACCAGGATGGGAACTTTTCCTCTACTCGCATTATGGACGGCACCAGCGAGGGCCTATCACCAAGTGTTTGACGACAATGTCCTAGAAGGCCCAGCATATAGGCACTAACCTGAGTTCCGACATCAACATGTACAATGACTGCGGCGGGGGTATTCGTAACCTGCGTAAATGCCTGTGCCGCGCTCAACGCAGCCATTTCATTAGGGCAAGTGACTATTTCGACAGTGGTATTGCCATGGTCGGCGCGTTGGCGCTGGAGGTCTTCGAGGAGTGCAGGGTGATCAGAGCCCCAGTTGACGAATGCGTGGGTGATGCCGACCTGGGCTAGAGTGTGGAAAAAGAGAGAAGATGTGGTGTACATTTTTGGCAACGATGGAGGGCAGCACTAGATGATGAAGTACAGGTGTGTATATATAGTGCTGACTATCCTGGGACCTGTGCCCAGTAGCATGGGATATGATGCACTTTCCTGGATTGACAAGCCGCACAAGCGCAATGCTGTGCGGAGAGGTTAGATGGGTGGGAGATGAACACACAGGACTTGACGGATAAGAGTATTTGATCAGTAGATGAAGAATATACGATTTTTACAACGTAGTAGAAAGAATGTGTTCACGCTGACTTTGACAGCCTTGTCTGGGTTTGATTTGACCTGGTCCGAACTCGACAAGATCTGGTGGATTGTTCAGAAAACAGCTCATTTACTCGCGGGACAATGCATAACGCACGCATTATTCCTTCAAGAACGCCCTGCAAGCCACTGTCGACGTGTAGAACAATATCTGCAGTCCTCCACTCTGACCCATACTGACCGAGATGACTATCGCAATACAAATGATAATCTCATCAAGCAGCATGAAGACAGAAAGCGACGCGGGAAGAATGATGACTTATACGCACGGCCGCCTTTAGCAGTCACGCGCACTGCTTCCGCGGACTCGGAATCCGTTCCGTGCTTATATAGATGACATATATCAACTTGGCGTGAACCTCCTGAGGCCCACTGAGCCACGTCAAACCATGTCGTTCTCACAGAAATATCACCAACTCCCCACATTCGATAAGCATGCTGGAGAGCACGGATCTCTCCAACGTAAGGTCCCGCGAAAAAGGAGGTCTCCTTTCCTCGTCATCGCTATCATTATGTTGTTGGGTGTTTCCATCCCTTGTATAAGGATGGCCAGGTCTAGGGCTTTATTGTCTGCTTGCCATGGCCCGCAGCGTAACTCTTCTACACTGGCTAATCTGCCTTCTCACTATACCTTACCATCGGGAGACAAGATTCCCTCAGTTGCGTTGGGTACGGCAGCGGTAAATGCTTATCAAGTCGGTGTCAAACTAATCATTGATTACAGGTGTATGGCAGGCTAGCCAGGGGGAAGTCGGAAATGCTGTAAAGGTACGTACTCTACGCTTCCTCGAGTACTTACGCTCACGTGCTTTTAGACCGCTTTGTCAACCGGTTATCGACACATCGATGGAGCCTGGATCTATCGTGTACGTCCGAGTCCCTCATCGCGACGAACCCCTTTGACGATAGTTGCAGAACGAAGAAGAAGTCGGTCAAGCTCTCAAAGCGAGTTCTGTACCTCGTGAAGAGCTCTGGCTCACGTCAAAGGTAGTACCTTCGATTCACTCAGTTTTAACTCACTGAATGGCAACAGCTTTGGAACACTTTCCACGCACCTGAGGACATTGAGGCCGCGCTAGATCAATCGCTTACCAAGCTTGGTACAGATTATCTTGACTTGTACTTGATTCACTGGTGAGGCGATTATTCACCAACTTGAGCATTTTGCTGATTCCCAACAAGGCCTGTCGCATTCAAGGAGGGAACTACTGTTTTGGACGAGGATCTTACTGCCGATCCATATCCTACTTGGCAGAAGCTCGAAGAGCTTGTCGACAAGGGTAAAATAAGGAACATCGGTATCAGCAAGTGAGTTCCATCTTTGTCGAGTCGAACGGGTGCTGATATCTCGCCGATAGCTTCAATATAAGAAGGTTCGAATGATTTATGGTTTAAATCAACCTTGTTCAAATCCATCGCAGGATCCAGAATTTGACCGCGAACAATCTGAAATACCAGCCAGCTGTCAATCAAGTCGAGCTCAACTTTTGGAACCCTCAACCCGAGCTATTGCAGGTATGTTTCCAGCTCAGACATGCAGACGCTTGTGCTCGAGTTCACGAGTAATCCGTAGTGGTCGAAGGAGAACGGGCTTCTTCTCGAGGCGTACTCTCCCCTGGGTAGCGACAAGCAAGTCGGAAAGTCCCTTTCTGTCCCTGAGGTACCATTTCACGTCACGAGGACGAGTCTCCGTCGTCTAAACACTCTTACAGGTTAAAGACATCGCATGCAAACTTGGGATCACCCCGGCTCAGGTTATCATCTCGTGGAGTGTCCAGCGCGGTGTATGTCGATATTTCTGTAGCATCGTGTCATAACTCACCTTTCCAAACCTTGACAGACGATCGTCCTGCCGAAGAGCGTGACACCTTCTCGCATCGCAGAGAACCTTGCAGGTGAGAAAGCCAGAATTTCGCGAGGCAGTATCACTCACTCCAACCAGTATTTGAGCTCCCCCAAGAAGACTTTGAGAGGTTGGAGACAGCGGCAACTTCGCACCCTCCGCAGAGGGTGGTCAACCCGAGCGCGGGTTGGAAGTTGCCTTTCGATGTGTTTGACGGGCAGTGAAACATGTGTGGGCTGTTGCTTGATCGACGATTCTTACTACTATGCAACATCTAGGCTAGCGTTGCTAGCAATCTTCCAGAAACAGCTGTCCATCTAGTACTGCTGAAATGCAAAAATAGCGCAAGTTCACCTGACAGGTGCAATATGTTAGACCCCTCTGCAAGGGAAAGCTGACGGTTCACCTACCGGCTCGGGTTTCCTCAAATATATCAAATTAACAGGCTAGCTTGATGATCATGATGGAACCTTCCACCGGCCGAAAGAAGACATAGCTACAGGCACCAGGTAGGGCGACTACAGAAGCTCTGCGTCGGCATCTTTAAATATCATTGAGCTTTGAGGCGCGAGGTATATACTATGATTTCCGAGTTCAATCTCAGGCGATTGGGTGCAGTTTCTTGTAATTGACAAGTACATAAAGGTACAATGTCATGATACCACCCAGCTCCTGTTATCAATGAGTATGATGGATTGGTGACACGAATAAGAATCTTAACAATGAACGTGCGGAGCGATGACGCATGATTAAGGTTACAAAACATATCTGAAGTCCCTGTTTTGCATATCCGTCAAATCAAAAAATTCCTAGTAAAGTTAAGGTATAAACCTTGTATACAAACGGCAATCATCCATTCGGAGAACCCACCTTGTCGACCTTGACTTCTACACGCTTTCCATCCTCGGTGATTCTCTCGATCATGTATTGTTCTTCATCCATCGCCAACAGGCTCAGCATCACGGATCTGGTTCTCTCGGACGAGAACGGCACGGATGATAAGAAGAAGTACCGGACAGACGATGTGACATGCGCCAATCTTCCTAGAGTCACTCGAAGAATAACCTACCGCAGCTTCCACGTGAAGGGGCCAGCTGAGTTGACAATGCAGTATTCTGAGAGCATGATGGCGTTAGGAACAACCTGCAGGTAAATTTTAACTTGAGGAATAACTTCAATAAGTTACATATCACCTACCTTCTTCGTATGACCAGCAGTCAAACACTATTAAGCCACAGCAACGAGAGGATGAACCCAGGCACACTGATCACAGCTAAAGCAATGAGTATACAAACTCACACCAGGCATCAAACGCACTCAGGTACCGGCTGATCAGAAGTCCAGTCTATTATCGTGTAATGAGTGATATTGAAGACAACTAGGTAGATTGCGGAAGTAAGCCACATACCCGATTCGACCAAGGAAGTAAGTTGACTAGCAGGATGCCCAACCACGCTGGGACGAAGTAAATAGCACCAACATATGCTCTGGAATTGGGCCGTCGTGCAGCGAGCCGAACACCAGTCAAGATTGTCAAGACTTCAATGATACCAGGAACACATGACAATAGAGTCGTCTGTAGAGCGCTAAATCCGAACGAAGCGAGGATGAGTGTCTGCTGGTTTGTCAATGAGTTAGGCACATTGTCCAAAGCCGAGACATGATTTGTGCTAGAGTTTGCTGGCTTAGGCGGCAACATCAAGCATCGCATTTTGTAAGCGCATCAGTGCCATTCATCAGAACTAGGTTCCGGACACGTTTAATTAGTTGGTTTGGCAATCACGTGTATGAGAACTTACACCAATAACGCAGGGTCTGTTCCGTCTGAGTGTAGTACAATCAAGAATCCGGCAGTGATCGACCCCCCTCACAAACGCCTAGCAACAGGCGCACAACAAGAAGCCCAGCAAATTTTTTGCATGCTGCATGACATGCAAGTGCAACTGCCCAGACGAAGATATTGAGACTGATGCATGCTGTCATTGAAGTTCATATTAATGATGTGTTTGAAGCCTACCTCATCCATTTCCCGACGGGGAATCTTTGAAGGGCAGGGTTCTGGAGATACTCGAAGACAAGATAACTGAGATAGAACAATGTGCTGTGCCAAGCCTGGAAGGTATATGAGGCCCATGGAAGATTGAGTGGTGTATATCTTCTCACCAATTGTACCTGAAGATAGTTCAGCATCAGGCTCAAGCGTCAACTCCAAGATAAGAACAGTTTACTCATTCGTGGTCAGATGCGTGGCATCCCTGATAACACAGAGTCAGTACCGGGTTGGCTAGTCCTGATACACGACCCTTACTGAATTCCAAGCCTCAAGGATGGCCGCAGAACCCGAGGTTGTCTTGTCCATGAATTGGACTCTGTGCGCGAGTGAGCGCTGATTCGTGGTGAATACAGTCAACATACCAGTAGAGAACTGGACCGCGATCATCATTGATTCAAACAATAGCTGACTCACCACACATCAAAGGCATGATATGTCCATCGATCTTCCTCCTGGAACAAAATCGTACGATGTTGATGTGCATACAGTCTTAGCAACGCGCCTTATTCTCAAAGCCTCGTCGGGACCAAGAGTGGAGATTGAACCAGCGACGAGCTGAGCACCAGGTCAGCATCTTTAGTCGACACAGAAACTCCCTGCATGTTTATGGCCCTGGAGTATACTGGACGATTCCAAACTCATTTTGAGACTCTGGACGTGAACGTGTAGGTGAACTGTGGGTCCAGGAAGAATTTGCACCCTCTGAGACCACGTGTGACCATACCAGCTGCGCATCTGTCTGGTGGCATGATGAGCGAAGTTTGAACACTATCATCACTACGACCTTGTAGTGCCAATTTACAACCCCAATTTGTTGTTCTCACTACGCGGCTATGCGCTCCCGGAGTCGCTGGTAAATCGCTCTTGACGCTAAGTCGCTAACGGTTAACGTTTATAGACCGAGGTCACGGGTTTACATAAATTATGCAAACCACGTTAGCACAAGTAGGGACGCTCACACCTGGGAGCTTACGGTTTATTTTTAAAGCTTCGGGGTACGTAGTCTTTGCGCTGACCTCAGATAGCACGAGCTCGTCGTGGTCGGCGACGTGCGGTTGGACGAGCGAGAAATGCGTGCCATCATCGATCCTGAAAACAACTAGAGATGTGCATTGTGCTCAGTGCCCACGGACACATTTTTCATGAGACACGCTGTCCTACAGGGAAAAAATGGGCTCCCGCTAGAAACAGTGTGCCTCGTGGCATATTTGTTGGTAAGAAGTTTGATGCTTACGATGAGATTATAATGCGCAGAGCAACTTACCCGTCTTGCCATCCTAGATCTTGATATTCTAGCGAGTAGATCACTGCCACCGAATGACTCCTGTCCGGTGGACTGTTTCGCCGGTCAGATCCACTCACATTAATATTGACTACACATACTCGGTGCTTGTGCCCTGTCCGATGACCTTCCCCGTCTCGCCACATGACCTCACTACCCCTTCCGCTTGGAACAGTCTTGCCAATTTTATGCTCCATATTTCTGCCTTGTCATCCTCATCTTGTTAGCCGTGTGCTATCTGTGCGGTGTGTACCGTTTGCTAGGTCCCATAACCGGAGCGAGCCTTCATTCTAAAATGCGATCCGTTCGACACGCAGGTGCACAGAAACCTCTTGTGACAGAATATTTCTATACAGGCTTTTCATCTGCGAGGTGACGCATTGAATCCTACTTTTTTGGACGATAAGGTGGGTGGTGTAACGTTGAGACCTGGAGCGCCGACCATACCTTCTCTAAAAATAAATATATGCTGACGAAAGAAAGATGATACGACGCCATACCGGGGTCTTTTCAAGTGCCAGACTTAGTTTTCCAAATATTGTAAAAGGAAGTTCTACATCAAAAGGACTTCGAAGGGCACACATGTGAACGCGTGAACAGCAGCATCGCGTATCTCCCGTTTATTGACATTCGCGGACTTGCAATATGTGAGTTCATGTTTCGCGATGTAGTTTCGGACTGGCAATACGCAAGTTGATATTTTCTCAGCCACTACATCCTGCAGCGCTCTTCCGACTCCGGCACTTTATGGACTTCGGGTACAGCATCAGAGAAGATTTAGGCGAACTATGCCGTTGAGGCCTTCCAAAGTTCATCTCTATAAGGTATGGTATGACCTATATTTGACTAGCTGGACCGAGCCACTCTTATCAGTTTATCTCAACGGTATAGGCTCGAACAGATCTTATCGTCCATGTCAGAAATATCGGTGGAGTTACAAAATTTCGTAGTCATTTCGCTGACTTGGCTCGTATTCTGCTTCCAAGGCTGTGAATGAGGCCTATAAACATGCGCTCGGAAGTCACTGATGAAGCTCGAGCGCTTGAGCAGGCAGGACATCCATAGCGACGTGGAATAAAAGTGGAAATATAGTATGTTCTTTTTGCTGATATGATACTTGTTAATTCTATGAAATCGCAGATAGATGTATATCACATACCTCCCATAAACGAATGACATCAGTTGTGCGTTCAGCTGCTTCAAGTAGTATACCTACCTCTTCATAACGAGAAAACTCATACTTCGCATCTTTCTTGTTCACCTCGAGTTCCTTGCGCAAGCGTTCCTCTGTGGATTCCAGTGTTGGGGACCGTACCACTGGTTCAGAGACAATGATGGTTGGAGTCGGAGGGATAGCGCTATTACTAACAAAAGATGAGTGCCGCATAGTTACATTGAGGCTGCTCATGCGGCCAAATCCAGCAGATAAGGACCGAGAGGCTATCGCTGTCGAGTTGGTAAGCACATGCTGTGATACTGAGGTTATGCCAGATAGTTCCAGTCAGGTCTGCGTCTTGCCGACTTTAATGGACATACGAAACGAAGTCATCTGCACCCAAAAATTGCGTCATCCATAGTATAACCTGGGGCCATTTACAGGGGATTACGATAAAGTGCACAAATCTATTGTAAATCTCGAACCCAACGAGTTGAAATGAATTTGGTTATATCCGAATCGAATCGAGTTCACATCGAGTCTAACTTGCCTCGACGGCAACACTAATGTCACCGGGACGAATAGTCAAACATTATAACCGACACGACCATCTTGATCATGCTCGGCTAATGGGATATAAGTATCAAGTGCATGAAACACATTCCAATCATTCTCTCACTAAATCTCCTGTCTGCCAGCTTATCGCAATGTCAACTAACACACACTCCATATCTACTTTCGATGGTGGTGTCCGTATATCCCCTCTACCACGTTGTCATGCCCTGAATGTTCTCTTGAATATAGGTCCTAGCAAGCATCCGCCAGTCCATCGCTGATTTTCTTCGGCGTTGCGGTTTGAAATACATGGACGTCACAATCGATGAAGCATACCATTCTGAATGCTGCCAGGAGGCAATCAACCGTGGCTTTCCGATGGACGGGAAATATTCCATCCACGAATACATGGACGTCGGTGTGGCCATGGCGTCCAACGCTTACACCCACCTTCCTGATGCAGCCAGGATGTGGATGTGCCTGTTCACTGCTATCGCCACCCGCATTGATGACAAGGTGGTCAGGGGAGAAGACATGATTGATGTCTACCATTTCAATGAGCGGTTTGTGAGCTGCCAACCACAGGGTGATCCAATTCTGAACGCACTCGATGTGATCTTGCGTGAGATCGCTAGTCTTCATTCCCCGCTGGTATCGAGTCTTATAACCGCGTCCACGCTCAACTTTATGGTTGCAAACTGCCTTGATTTTGAGACTGAAGACATGCAGGTATGGTTTATATCTGAATCACGGATTGATTATATTTTGACCGGTATCGTAGATCTCGCCCAAGGCTCCCTTGTACCCAGAGTATTCCAGGCTTCTATCAGGCTTGGTGGATGGATATGTCTTATTTATCTTCCCTTCCATGCTCCCAACCACAGAATACATTCAATGCATGCCGTATCTAAGGATTGTCGTAAACCACACAAAGTAAGTACATTGATCACTTTCTGTCAGGCTTCCTAACCTGCCGTCATTCAGTGATATACTATCTTACTACAAGGAAGAGATGCAAGGCGACAACGCAAACTACTTGTCACTCATGGCAGCCTCTCGTACCTCCACCAAGCAGGATGCTCTGCTCGAACTGATTGAGAAGACTGTACAAGCGCATCACAATATCCTCGAATGCCTCAGACCTGGTTCAGAGGCCTATGATGCCTACGTCAGTTTTTTCGAAGGATATATCAAATTCCATGTTGCCGTGAAAAGGTACAAGCTGAAAGATATCATGGCAGAGATGTCCTCTTCTTGATGGATGTCCATTCCCCTCCTTGGTATGATACTTCCGACTTTCTACATTGATCACCATATCTTAACTTGGCCACTTGTGCAGCTGTGCCCTCGCGCTGTCTGTCAGTGGGGGTGTTACTTGACTTATCTTCATATACTTTGCTCGCTTCGTACGCTCTTCAGGCTTAGGGTGTTACTAGTATACAACGTTGAATGGTTCATATATTATCTTTTTTACCATTTGCTCTTCGTACCTTTTCACCATGTCATCTCTACTGTAATTGTAAATGAACGTTAAATTATAGTGTTTAGAACATTTTTGTGAGCCCAGCAGGATGATACTCATTGCTGTCAGGCCGTACTTCTGGCTCTAACATGTTCGGTCCTGTTTCATCAATCCGTCTACCGCTGCTTACCCTGAAAAATTGACACCAAGGATGTTGAATAGAACTAAAGGTATCTCCCGCCCCAGGTAGGTAGTCCTATAGGATAGGCTAAGCGTCTAGCGAAACTCTACCAAATTCTGTACAATACACACTTCACTGAACGAACAACACCGAGTAAGAGTAAGCTAGCAGGTAAGGTGTCACGTCGTACACTCCGGAGGTGACATGTCAGACATAGGAATTTGCATGAGTGCATCAGACGCGTGTGATTGTCGCTTCATCTGCCAAAGATGGCGGTGCATACGCGTGGCGAGGATCGCAAGGACGATGAACTGAAAACTGTAAGCGAAAATGTGTTTCGGGCATTGTTAACAGAATTGCGCAGAAGGTTGTGGAGGTGCATACTCGTGCAATATGGCGTGGTAGGAGTACTGGGTGTACGAAACATCAACAACTTGAACATAAAAGTTATTCAGGAGATATACGTACATGGAGGAGCAGTGATGTGAATATATTTGCCACCGAGAACACTTCAGGAAATAGAATGACCATGGATGAGCACGGAAAAATGGGGGGTGGAAGTGTCAACTCACAAAGACCACACGTATAATAAAATATGTTATGATTCAGCAGGACAATGTACAGACGGCTTGGGTTTTGTCGCCAACTCTGTATGGCACGTATGAGTGTGAGGGTCATAAGTCCTGGAGAGTATCTGTCAGCGTGTCTGTGTACACATACACTTGCTCCTGGTCACTCACCCAGTTCGAATGCGCACAGGAGAAGAAATGGTATGAAGAGCTGGAGACTACTCGAGCTCTGGTAGCACCCCGTGATACCGGGGATAGCACTAATTGCATCTGCAGGAGTAGACAGAATTGTTAAATGGCAGTGGAACGCCAGGAAAGAAAGGAGAACGTATACATGTTGCGGGAGCAGTAGTGGCGAAGGTAATACCGATGGAGGCTCCGAGAAAAGTCTGGCTGATGCATCAGCAGCTAATTTGGATGTGGCTAATGAATATTGGACTTACGAAAGCGGTAACAAGAATGGCTGCAAGCAATATTCTATTGTTGTTCCAAAGCGCGCATGTTCTTAAGATGAAAAAGCCTGGATGGATTGGATCAGGGACATGCATATCTTAGGGATGAAGGTTAGATACATTCGGAGCAAATGCCTAATAGTATATCGAGCCCTGTGAGAGGAAGTGACGATTGCACTCAGCAAAGCTGTGCATAGATAGATCTACCGTGTATGTACCTGAGCAAATATTGTCCAACACCCGGCATTTCTGGCAAAGTCATGCAGTAAGCGACATCCATTCCCTCATTAAGTCTCCGCCGCATGTTCACGTACACCTGGGGTTTCATTCGGAATGAAACTCACTACATGACAACATGTTAATTTATTATCGGGCGATGTACGATAAAGCTGAACGTACAATATAGATTTGTGGCGAGAAGCAGAAAGGGGACATATCGTGTAGCGATGTAGAGGCCCTTTGCCTTGGTCCAGTGCGACACAAGTAAGAATCTCCACTTTGAATACAATCAACATCAGATACGGGGCGTATCACGCAACGAGTACGTTACCTCTTCATGAAGTGAACAAGCATAATTGTAGGTCTGGATATGCGAGTTGAACAGTAGAAGAGAACTCGTCGGGACAAACTCACCCAGAATGTAGTTATCGAAACTGGGCTGCGTTAAGACGATAAAGATCGAGTTCAGACAAGACGCACTGTATATGTACTGATGCACATTGCACACATAGATTACTCCATATTACTCGTATCGACAAAAAAGAAACGTACCTGGAAGAACTGCAAACTCGTCGCTGCTGCGATATCGTCAGCCGAATAGTCCGTCTTCATCCCGCCGGGTCGTTCAAGAGGTGGTCGTGAACGGGTTTACCGCCCCCTTCTAGACTGAACTCTAAGAACTTATATACTTTACAGTTAGGTAATGCACAATTCAATTCGGAAACTCGCGTGTGCTTATTGTACTTGTCCCTGCTTCTGAAATAACCACGTTCGAGTTGGAGGGACCTGGCTTTCAAAGCTCGAGATCAATGAAACTCTTCCAAGTACTCGGCCCTCATTAATTTTTTTCGTGGAAGGTGATCGTTACGCTCAACGTTTGACCGTAACCAACCATTGACGCTGAACTGTCAAGTTATAAGCAAGATGCAGTGCAGACAGTACGTACTGGGTCACGAGTTCATTCATATGCGAAGGTTAGAACCTATGAATTGCAATGATCCGCGAATTCTGCAGCTGGAGCGCTGTACTGTCAAACACGGAAACAATTGAAGTCGTGAGTTTCTGTTGATAGATGACTCGCAGGTGTCACAGGAACGTTGAAGTGATCAATGCCGTTTGTTTGGCAACAGTTGTGAGACCAAATAACGCCTCGAGGCGAAAGTTTAAACAGCCAAGTAAACTTAAATCTCCCAGTTGAATCAACATTTAATTGACAGGTCAAATACACCTTTAACTTTCAGTCTCTGCACCTGATTGAAAGACTAAGAACCATCATATACCCGTCCAACGCTGTGCACCACGCGACAGACTCATCCTATAAATTAAGCACGTAACAGAACTCTATCGAGCCCACTCCCGCCGATCATCTTGTATGGTCCAAGCCTCGCCCCACGAACAACACTGAATAAGCTACGGGATACGACATCACACCGTGTGATTTTCAAATGAGATGTCGGACATTGAAAAGAGGGTGCCACTAGAGTCGTGTAGATGTTGATTCACCTGCCAGAGATGGAGGTGCATGTGCGTGGCTAAGATTGCAAGAATCTCGACCTGGAACCTATACATGGATGTACAATTATCAGTAGGAATAGGCAGCAAGATGGGGTGGTGCATACTCATAGGACACATTTGTTGGAGTACGAGACCGAGAGATCCGAGGCCAGGGGGAGATCCGAGTCGAGAGAGTCCGAAGGATCCGAGTGATAAGGGGAGAATGGTTCGAGCGCGCGCCAAAACGGACGAAGACGAGCGACGTATGACGTCGGCTCGCGTCCTAGTTTATTTTCAGTCTCTCATTCATATGTTCCAGTACCTGACCAACTTACTATAAGATTACCAGCAGTACCGCAGGTGCATCTCAGTTTTCGTTCGAGACAACTGAGATGTACGTGCCAACAAGTCCCTAGAGTTTACAACGCGTCTAATGTTAGTTATAGCTTGTCTTTGTCGTTCTAGGTAGACGCACCGTTATAAGAGTTTTCGTTCGAGACAACTGAGATCTTGTCTTTGTCGTTCTAGACTCCTCGTGACCCTCTTGCTCGTCATAAACGCCTTTAGGTTATGAGCCCTGCCTCCATCATGGAACCTACGCTCCCCGGTACAAACTCCAGCCTGTTCAATATCCCGAAGCTCGCAGAAGACGGCTCAAATTGGATTACTTACAAAGAACGAACACTAACGGCTATTGGAGCCCGAGGTTTGATGCGATATACCGATGGACGCGTCTGCGAACCTATTCCCTTCGTCATCGATCCGAACACCAAGGCCGTAAAGAAGCCTGACGGTTCGACGCCGACGCAGACTGAAATAGACGAGCTTGATAAGAAGATCGACGAGTACCACCAGAAAAACTCACTCGTAAAGCAGCAGATATTCAGCACGATCACCGATCGGCTGTTACTGCGCGTCCAGAAGCTTGGGGAGGCATCCGAGATCTGGAATGAGATTTGTCAGATTCACGAGGGTAAGACTGAACTTGTGCAAATAGACTTACGGCGTCGGTTGCAAGAGACACGCTGTGAGGAAGGAGGCGACATCAAGGGCCATTTTGCAGAGCTCATAAGGCTCTGCGAGTCGCTGGCAGGAATGGGCGCGGCTATCGTCGATAACGACTTCCACGCCATTATTCTAGGCTCGCTCCCGGAGTCGTACCGGCCCCTCCTATCGTCCATCAGCGCAGCAGCTAGGATAACTAAGAGTCCCCTCACCTCCTACGAGTTAATCAGCATCATCACAGAAGAGTACGAGCATCGCCTACTCACCGAACGCCGTCCCAACAAGAAGGGAGCTTCAGGCTCTGCCCTATCTGCTAGAGAAGCTAAGGGGAAGGGCAGAGCATCAGCCGGCACCCCCAAAACGAATCCGGAGGTCACCTGTTTCAATTGCGACAGGAAGGGCCACTATAAAACGGACTGCTGGCGTCCGGGGGGTGGTAAGGAAGGGCAAGGCCCTAACCAGCAGAAAAGGAAGGCCGAGAAAGCACCCAAGCAGGCTGCTAACTCGGCCACACAGCCAGAAGCCCACGACGACCAGTACGCCTTCGTTACGTCAGATTTGGCGAGCGTGGCAGGCGAGCTGAACGTACCTGTCGAGAAACGAGGCGCAATCGTAGATTCGGGCGCGACCTCTCATTTTTGCCCTGATAGGGCGAAGTTCACGAACTTCATGAGCATCCCTCCCCAAGACGTTCGCACAGCCGACAGTTCGAGCTTGAGTGCGATTGGCCGTGGAGATGTGCACCTGGAGCTACCGCTCGGTGAGAAACGCACAAAGGTCACATTAAAAAACGCACTCTACGCACCGAAAATGGCCTTTACGCTAATTTCCACGAATCGTATTGCAGCGGCTGGCCTAGCCGTGCTGTTCGAGGGCAGGATGTGCAAGCTCCTGTCGAAAGGGCCAGACCGGAAGGTCATTGCAGAGATCCCCCAGGTTGAAGGCCTGTATAGTGTCGCAGGAGGACAACAACGTCAGCATCATGCCAACATCGCAAAAGGCAAGCTTACCGTCAGCAGCGCCCACAAAGTACTGGGCCACGTGTCCCAGACTGCAGCCGCTGATGCAATCCGGAAGGGCCTAGTCACCGGCCTAGAACTGGATGACGCATCGAAAGCCGAATTTTGCGAAGCCTGTGTGCAAGCTAAGTCAACGAGGAAGCCCTTCCCAGAGGAAAGCACGAGCCGCGCACTTACCTATGGTGAGCTCGTGCACACTGATCTATGGGGCCCTGCCCAAACGGCAAGCATCGCCGGGTGCCTGTACTACGTCACGTTCACGGACGACTACAGCCGGCAGACTAAAGTTCAGTTCCTCAAATTGAAGAGCGAGGCACTTACAGCGTTTAAGGCCTATGAAGCCTGGTTGGCACGTCAGATGCCGGGAGTTAAGCTGCGCAAGGTCCGTTCGGACAGAGGGGGAGAATATCTCAGCGCCGAGTTCGACCTGTACCTCCGTCAGCAGGGTATCGAGCGTCAGTTAACCGTCCACAACTCACCTCAGCAGAATGGCGTGGCCGAACACCTGAACCGGACCCTCGTTGAACATGCTAGGGCCATGCTGATAGGGAGGGATCTCCCTAAGTACCTGTGGGCAGAGGCGGTCAACTATGCAACTTGGTTGAAAAACCGCTTACCATCAAGGTCGACCCCCGGCACTACGCCATACGAGCTCGTACGCAAGTCCAAGCCGGACTTGTCGCGAGCCCATGAGTTCGGGGCGAAAGTCTTCGTCCACGTGCTGGATGCTGGGAAGTTGGAGCCGAAGGCAGAGGAGGCAATCTTTGTGGGGGTAGACGCTGAAAGCAAGGGTTATAGAGTGTACTGGCCGGGGAAACGCCGTGTATCGGTGGAGAGGAACCTCACCTTTGCACCGGCAGAGATCCTGGTGGATGCACTGGACGAGGGGGAGCCTACTGCTGTTAACGAACATAACAGCGGCAACGGTAATAATAACTCACCTCATAGCGTCCAGCCCATCACCACTACCACGCAACAGCAACCTCAACCATCTACCGCCCAGCAACCTCAACCATCTACTCCTCAGCAACCTCAACCATCTACCGAGCAGCAACCTCAACCATCTACTCCTCCAAGGACGACGAGGGCCAGACCTCCTCCGGGCTACTATGCTAGCCTGAACGAAGGCAGCAATGCAGCGGCCATAGTGATGGAGAACCTGTTGGAAGCGTCAGAGGTAGATTTATTGGATGAAGAAACTCACCTTCACCTTGCCTTGGCAATCGCCCAACCAGAGCCCACCTTGCAACAGGCGTTAAACGGACCAGATGGAGTAGAGTGGCAGGAAGCTGTTGATTACGAGATAAGTCAGCTTGAGAAGTTGGGGACGTGGGAAGTAGTAGACTTACCTCGCGGCGCTAACCTCATCCCCTGCCATTTCGTGTTGGCCACGAAACGTGGACCCGACGGTGAAAAACTCAAACTGCGGGCACGACTCGTTGCCAACGGCCAGAAGCAGCAGTTCGGTGTCGACTACTTCGACACGTTCGCGCCCACAGCCAACATGAGCACCATACGCACTGTATTGACGATGGCGGCTCAGAACGACTGGGAAATCCACCAAGTCGACATAAAAAGTGCGTACCTCTATGCGAGTATCCAGGAGGAGATTTACATGCGCGCGCCACCCGGCTACCTCATGGAGAGTCAGCGAGGAAAAGTGTTGCGGCTGCGAAGGAGCTTACCTGGTTTGAAGCAGGCCGGTTTTGAGTGGGCTGAGGAGTTAGCAGGAGTTTTTGCGAAGATAGGTTTCGCCCGGTCCAAGGTGGACCAGGCAGTCTACTACAGACGCGCACCGGACGAGCACGTCGTCATCACCGTCTCAGTGGACGACATGGCCGTTACTGCCAACCGGGCCTCCCACATCACCCGCTTCAAGTCCCAGCTCCGTAAATTCTTCGAAATCACAGACCTGGGCGAGCTAAACTGGCTGTTAGGGCTAAAGGTAACGCGAGACCGTGGCGCACGTACCTTGACACTCTCCCAGAAAGCCTATGTGGACACGATCATCGAGCGCTTCTACATGGGAGACGCTAAGAGTGCACAGACGCCGATGGAACCTACACTCACCTTGTCCGTTGACCAGGGACCTGCCACGGTGCAGGAGATCCAGGCCATGCGCGATGTACCGTATCAGCGAGCCATTGGCTCGCTGATGTATGCAGCCACTAGCACCAGGCCGGACATAGCATTCCCTGTCGCGACATTGTCGCAATTCATGCGCAATCCTGGTAGGCCTCACTGGGAGGCCACCAAGAGGGCACTACGCTACCTTAAGGGCACGGGAGACTTCGAGCTAACGCTCGGTTCGACGGACGGAGGTCTTGAAGCCTTCGTGGATGCGGACTGGGCGTCACAACCCCACCGGCACTCTATGTCCGGGTACATAGTCCTTTTGAACGGAGGTCCCGTTGCATGGAGTGCCCGGAAGCAACCACTGATCGCGCTATCCACGGCAGAGGCTGAGTATATCGCCCTGACCAGTGTGATACACGAGTTACTTTACCTTAGTGACTCGTCGTCCCTCCAATTTCGTTCCATTAAAATACACTGCAGAGATACGGCATTGTTCATGAAACTGATGAGGAAGCGGCTGCAGCTATGCAACGTACGAACAGCAATCAGGCCAATAATGCAACGCAATCAGGTCAACCAGCTGGGGTACAACCATCTCAAGCACAACCAATCCAAACACATCAGCCAACTAGTGGGACGGGAGAAGTTTCAGTTACATGCTGCTGCTGCTGCAGAATTTACTTTGGTCGTCCTTCCACTTTGCGTCAGTCATGACATTATCTAGAAACCATGTTACTCGATTATCTCTTACGCATCATGTATCTTCACATAGCTCGCTCCGTTACATGTACAAGCGCACGAAATTGATCTATTTCTCTCAATAAGGGAACGCGTGATCGAAGCAAGCATGAAGTTGTGCCAGTGTAATGACCCAGCCGCTCCCACATAGAATATCCGAACGGCACAGGAGATCGAATACAAACAAGGTCAGAATGTGCAAAAAGGTTCAGTACTGAATGTCGATATACCATAATTATGCATGGATGACCAAGTGCACTTTGTCGTAGTATACATTATCGTGTGTACTAGTAGCTGAAACTACAGTTGTTAAATGGACCAAGGACATCCAAATGCTCCACCCGCCCCGCAACAGACTCATCCTGTACATCATACATGTGACGAACTCTACCAAATCCCCACCAATCATCTCGTGCGGTCCAAGCCTCGCTCCACGAACGACATTGAATAAACCGCAGGACAAGACATCACTCCGTGACGTTCACAGATGACATGTCGGACAATGGAATATGAACCAGGCCGCCAGAGCCGAGTAGATGTTGGCTTGTCTGCCAGAGATGGATGTGCATGCGCGCGGCAACAATCGCGAGGGTCAGAAACTGGAAACTGTACGTGGGGTGTACATTTCGAGTGTGATTAGTAGGAATACGCAGTAGGATGCGGAGGTGCATACCTATTCAAAACGGTCCGGTACGTATCCTGGGGCGCAGAACATCAACGGCGCATCATAAAAGGCATTTAGAACATTCACGCACCTGGAGGAGCAGCGATGTGAAGATGTTCATTGTCGAGAATACTTCATGAAATAGAATGACCATGGATGAGCACAGAAAAACGGCATGTACAGGCATTAACTCACAGAAAGCGCAAGCATAATAGAATATGTTATGGTTCACCAGGACAACATACAGATGGCTTGGATTTCTCCGCCAGCTATGTATGGCACGTATGAGCGTGAGGATCATGAGCCCTGGGGAGAACACCTGTCAGCGCGTGTTGGTACACATATATGCTCCTGGTTACCCAGTCCGAACACAGAAAAGAGAAGGAATGGGATAAAAATCCGGTCACTGGTTGAACTCTGGTAACACCCTGTGATGCCCGGGATCGGGCTAGTCGCATCTGTGAAAGTGAATGTTTCAGTTACACCAGAGGGAAGATGAGAGTGCGTACATGTCGCAGAAACGGTAGTGTCGACGATAATGCTGACGGATGCTACGAGAAACGGCTGGTCGATGGATCTACCACTGGCTTGTGTATGGTGAGTGGATTGCGAACTCACGAAAAAAATGCCCAGGAGGGTTACGAGCAAGATTCTATTTCTGTTCCAGAGCGCATATGTTCTGAGGATGAAAAAACCTGGATGAATCGGATCAGCAACATGCATATATTAGGGAGGAAGAAGAGATACACGCGGAGAAAATGGCTAATATCATCTCAAACCCTGTGAGTGAAGTGGACTGCCCTCAGTAAGGCTGTACATAGATGAATGTATAATGCACATACCTGAGCTAATATTGACCAACATCCTGCATTTCTGGCGAAGTCATGGAGTAAGTCGCTCGTTCTCATTAACTCTCCACCTCATTACATACACTTTGGTTCTCATTCGGGGTAAAGCTCACTAAAAAACAAGTGTTAATTCATTAGCCAAGGCGATGTGTGCTGGAGCGGAACGCACTATACAGATCTGTGATGAGAACGACAAAGGGAAGGTATCTTGTTACAATATACAAGCCTTTCATCTTGCTCCAGTTCGATAGATGCAAAAACGTCCACTTTGTGTATCATATTGTGTTCAAATATAAAGCGTATCATGGAAGAAGTGTATTACCTCTTCATGAAGTGAACATACATAATCATAGGTCTGGATAAGCGAGTTCGACAGCGGACATGAATAGATGAAAATTGAAGCCTACCCAGAATGTAGCCGTCGACGCTGAGCTGTATAAAGACAAATAATATGACGTTGAGGCAGTAGTACGCACTATATATGTACTGGTATACATGACTTGTCAGTTATGATTCATCCTCGTATCGACAAGGAGACATACCGTGGCAAACTGCAAACTCCTTGCTGCTGCGACATCGTCAGTCGAATACTCCATTGAGAGGTTAAAAATGTCTTTCACACACGTCATGAGCCTTCTTAGCTATTGAGCTATGAGCGCATCAGGATAGCAGTGTAAATACCGGGGACCACTGAGTTAGTTCGAGTTTAAATTTAGTTTACTGCGGCCGTGATGAAGCGTTTTATCGTTCACCGCATGTACCGGCCGGAGAGCGACTTGACAAAAGATACAGTTACAGCTTCGGTATTTGGTCAATGTACCAGCACGCACCTAATGATATAACTTACATAGGTTTGATCGACTGAAAAATAAAGATTGATTTGAAAACTCATGGTGTGCTGCCGATTTACGAAGCTCCTGAAGCTCAAAGTTTGATGCATTACTTATCGCCACTTGAAACGCGAAGACCTCGGAGGGACTAAAGCAACTTACAATTAACTGCCTTCCAGTACCAGTACTTACTTCGGTGGTCGTTTTTTCGGGGTGCCATTTTGAGGTGTATGGCTATAGAAAGCACCTTCAAGTTACTTTGGTGACTGGTCCATCGAAGCCACTTTGAACGTATTGGTGATTCAGAGATAGTCGGAGTCAGAAGTGCATAGTGACTTGTTTGTTTGCCAACAGACGCCTCGGGCCAGGTGAAATTGACGCGGCCCTGCCGCGCCTGCCGCGGTCGTGACGCGCCTGTGACGCGGCACTGACGCGGCATATGTGACGCGGCACTGTAACAAATTCCTATGTACAAATCATGTTTACACAACTTCATATCGCATTCCAAACACTTTGAATCATCGTTAATGATCAACATATGAGTGTCTGCCTGCGTACAGGCTCTATAGTGCTGTATTCACCTCTCACCAAATTTACAGTGCTTGTCCTCTGCATTCATACTACTAGTATGCATCTTGCCGTCAGTCCTATATTGTTGCATTACCTCTAATTCGTTCATCTATGTTGGTTTTCAGATGCAGTGTCAAATGTTGTCTCACTGTGTCAAGCTTCGACCTCACCCTGCCAAGTTTGATCCACTCTCTATACCCTACACCAACACGTCGAGCCCCAACCATGGCATGTCAGAAGCCTCGTTTAGGCTGCGTCAAGCACTACTCACACCACGACAAGTTCTCTCAAATATCTTCGCAGTCTCTGTACTAATATCAACATCCACACTCTATGCCGCGTCGAGACCTACTACAGTGCCGCGTCAACCATAGCACATACCGCGTCAGTGCCGCGTCACATGCGCGTCAGTGCCGCGTCAAACAAGTTGTGCCGCGTCAGTTGCCGCGTCAAACCTCCTCCATGCCGCGTCAGTGCCGCGTCACAGGCGCGTCACGCCGCGTCAAACCTCGTCACTGCCGCGTCACCCGCGCGTCACGCTGCGTCACTGCCGCGTCAAACTTCATTCATGCCGCGTCACAAGTAGCACATGCCGCGTCAAACCTCACCACCTCAACTGTCACACTGTCCGTATAACTTAGGTACATTTTACTTTACATCTGTCATAATAATTGATATTCTAACAGTGTTCCTTTTCATCCTGACAGAATTAGACGTCGTACACTGTAATTGTCCATAGGCAGTAATAAATTTATTTTACTAAGCATTCTTTCGTTGTCTCCTCTGGGCTCGAGAAACAACCGTTATTATCGCGCTTTTGTAAATCGTATCATGGCCTTTGTGAGTTCTTTAAAATACGGAGTCAACTTGTTATAACCATCTTTTAGCAATTAATCAAACATATATTCAACTTTTTCTATCCCAACGAGACAGAGAATCAAAATTATCCAGATCGGCCGGGTCCGCTGCTGAGTTTTGGGGACCTCATACCCTGCTATGACCGTTCAGGTGCGTCATCCGACATATTCTCCTTGTGAACTCAGATTTGACAAATAGAACTGCCTTTGGTGCATGCTTTCACTCGTGGTTGCTCACCGAAAGGCCAGTGATTTTGAAAAACGCATCGAAGCTCGAAACGAAGAATGGAACGATAGCATGCTGTTGAAGATGGCTTGGGCTGATCTCATGATAAGCCATCCTACCAATAGCTTCGTGGCTGATGTCGACCTCGAGTGTCTGACCGCACTAGAAGGAAGGATGTTCGAGGATTCCGAAGAAGCAGGACCTGCAGGCAACCAGCAGTGGGGTTTGGATGCTGGCCAACATCACAGGCGATGGAAATTGTATCTCGGAATTCCTGATGAATGGGTTTCTGCAAGAGATTATAGCGAGAGTGAACTTGAAGTGAGGAAGACATTACCTGCTCCGTTCGATAGATATCTAACTTATGTGATTGACAGCGCGGCCCCTTATTCAGTGATAACTCTGATGCTACATCTTTGGAGTCTGCAGACGAGCTATCCGAAGCTGTAGTTCCTTGTCTGCCGGCCGAAGAATGTCCGCCCGTTAAACGTCGATGTGCTCCACAGGCTCGAAGGGTCCAGAGAGGGAGGAAAAGAAAATAGTCATTGGCTTATGTATACCTAGTTGTACATGGCTCTGAGGCAAATAAAATAACAAAAGAGTGGTCGTGAACTCATCCAACTTGATCTGGAAGTTGAATATAGAATATAGGAATGGCGCGTCAGTGGTCGCGTCAAGGATCGTTAGTGCCGCGTCAAGGCTCGTCAGTGCCGCGTCACATGCGCGTCACGCCGCGTCACGGCCGCGTCACGACCGCGGCAGGCGCGGCAGGACCGCGTCAAAATAGCTACGCCCAGACGCCTCGGCAAAGAGAATGGCATTCCAGCAAATGCAACAAGAGGCTCACATACTCAGACTTCATTCGAATGTCTGCAGCCAACATATCCAATCCTCTCAAAACCAACCCTACGCACGGACTTTTATCGATAAGTCACAAGGTATGATTGATAATAGTACCAAAGATCTCAGTCGGCATCTAATGTTTAATTACTTCTACGATGTATGCAGTATACCTCTTGTCCATGCCAACCCCCGCTCAACCTCTGAACAACGGTATCCGATGGAAGACCAAGAAAATAGATACACTATAGTATGCTTGTCCAACGTGGTACACGGGTGCGTATCAAGCCTTTTATGCATCATATAAATTAGTTCAGCCTTTCTTTAGGAACCCGAAGTCGCAGAAGTCACAACTCCCAAGACACAGCAGCGTGGCGTATGCGCCGACGCTTAATGCCTTCACGAAGACGGCGGCCACCTCCAACTAGTGTTGTCCACTACTCGCGTGGACATCCCATCCGTAAGTCCCTCCACCATATCATCATGTTTGCCTTCTCACCACTCATCGACATTTTGTTCGGAACGTCTTGAATCTTCTTTCGGGAAAGCTCTCGTACACTACTCAATGTCTACACGTTTAGCGCGCACGTTTGAGCCAGAGTAAAAGGAGGCATCTTGTTACGTGGAAGGCGGGCCTAGCGAGCGTTCTGGAGGTTGTTACTAGTACACTGTAAGTAAAGTCGTGCAGCGGGTCACGTAGACAGGTGAGAGCGTTCAGGTTGACGCTGCGTACGTAGCCTACATCACAGAGGGTTCTTCCGGTCAATGAATCATGGTCACGATTAATGACTGCATGATGCCGTGTAGTAATTGCCATATTTGGTGTGAAGTATTTTAATTTCTAACTTAATCTTTGCCTCGCGCAAGCCTCGCGTCTGATAGTGCCAACCATTTTGCGAATTGCTGTAGACGAGAAGACAATATCAACGCCCGGGGATGTTGATTACAGCAATATTGCGTAACCAACACCGAGATACGTTCCCGTCGGTCATGCAATCAGGCAATCACTTGTCACTACTGGCCGGGTGGTACTTTGCTTGGGAGTTCTGCTACGCGCTATGCACAGGGTACATATTCGATATGGTATGCACCCGCTCAAACAAACATCATATTACTCCACTCACTGACGAGACGTACATAACATACCAATGTACATCGAACTGCCTCAAAATTTGAACCGGACCAAGGTAAGTACTTGATCCGGTGGTAACAGAGCCCATTAATATGTGGTATCAAGGCCACAGCATGCAAAACGTACCCAAATAGCAGGTCTCTTCGACACTTTTGCCCCATATCTCCCTTCCCCTTGATTACCGACTTTGCACAGTATTTCAATGCCCAGTCTGTCTGTTCAACGTGACATCTCTGTCATGCAACACGAAGAAGCCGAGTCAAGCATGTCAACGAGACGAGAAGAAGTCCCATTGCACTCATCGATATATCGGACAAGCGCGAAATATTTACCACCATATGGTGCACAGCACCGCCAGGACGCACTTTGGGAAGGTGATCAGCTACCTTGTGATACCTTCCAGCTCACTCAATTAGAAACAGGCGGAAATGAAGCACTTCCTCCCATGTGGCAACAGTTTAAGACGCCATCAGATGGTGAAACACGATATCAAGATGACACGCTCGTGATGACCTCGTGGAACCGACCTTTACCAGGAGTGCGACTAGGTGAGTGATGAAATTGCGATAAGGAGCGATGAACTCACCGTTAAAAATAGATAATCCTGGATACCTCGCTGTTCCTGGATGGGAATGGCACATCTCACCACTGGGTCGGTCCTACTTTGTCAACCACGACACTCGGACCACGTCGTGGAAGAAACCAAAACCAGAACGACCGGCAGGAAGCTTGATGCCGGAGTGCGTCATCGAAGGTCATTCTCGATGCATATGGAGCCTTGCCTACTTGTGTAA